AGCTGCGACGAGAGGTCGAGCACAATCGGATCGGCATCACCAACAATCCGTTCCTCACGCCCACGGTACTAATCTCCGCATTGCGAATATCCAACGTTGTCGGACCTGCCGCGCTCCGAATGGCCACACGTCGCGCACGCCGAATCAAAATCTGTACGACCTCCCTTGGGTCCACGACTCCACCCAGCAGAACCAGCACGAGCAGCGTGCCACGGAGTCCTGTAACGCCAAGCCATTTCGTCATAATACGCTTGACTCTGAGGTTGTTCCGACAGGAACTCGAACTCTGATTTCTTGTCTGAAAAAACATCTGGGCGGACAGACGGTAGCAAACACTGCTAGAACCGTCCTGGGCAAAAACAGGCTGGAGCACGCGCCCCGAGCGTTGGCGGACAGGTTCAGGAGGAAGCCCACCACGGGCCCGAAATGGACAGGGATCTAGCCGCGGACGAACGGTATCCACTTGACTCACCTGGGAATCTTGCATCTTGAGCCACAATGGCTACGGTTGAGAATTGTTTGACGCTTGTCGGATAATGGTTTACGAACTCCTAGAGACTTATGACCGACCTCCCCCCACACGAATAATAGTAATGCAATGTTGTGTCATGCAGTACGTATGCGCCAGCTGAGACCGCCTCGCGTTGTCCGATCGGTTTCGTGTACCAGTTGGTCGACCATGTGAAATGGTAACCCATTTCGGGGCGTCTTTTTGGGCGACCATTTGGGTCAACTATTATCTGTTGTGCATAGTTGTTGGCGACCTTCTAGGCTACCACATGGGTTGCCACATCGTTTTGGGGCGACCTTTTGGGCGACCGCATGTCGAGCACGTTCATGCCCCCCCCCAGGCTGTGCTGGTCAGGAACATCGCGGAACCACCTCCTAATTGCCCTTTTCCTCATCCCCCTCCTCCTCCTTTTCTCGGGATTCTCCTCCCACTCCTCGCCCCCCATGCCGAGGAGGGAGAGAGAATGTCAAGAGGAGGCGCAGCAGAAGAGGAGGGGGGGAGAAAGACGAAGACGACGACGAAGACGACGACCAAGAGGAGGAAAACAACGATGAGCGGGGAAGGAGCATGAGGGTGGGCGGGAGACAGGCATTACAACAAGGATCAGCAGCTCAGGAGAAAGAGGGCGAGGAGGATGAAGAGGGCCCCAGGTGCCCACGCAAGCAGTGATGTCAATCGAGCCCTCCTGCCTGGGCGCCCCACCCTCAGCCGTGCCACGGTCGCAAGGGCAACCATCGCCGACGCCGCACCCAACCGACCGTGCGGGCGCGAGGCTGCTCGTCGACCCCGATCCCCCTTGGGACAGGTCGCCGATCCCCCTTGGTTAGCCGCCCAGGGCAAAGCCTCGGCCAGCCCCGCCGCAATGCCCGAGAAGCCGCGCCTCCCAGTGGCCCGCTAGGCACCTCCCCGCCATGTTGCGGCAGACCCGCGCCTCCACCACAGGGCGGCGAGGAAACCGCCGAGTGCGCCTGAGGAAAGTCGCCACTGGCCCGCGCCTCCACCACCTGGAGACGCCCGAATGCGCCTAAGAATGCTGGCAGCCCCGCTTCTACACCACGGGGTGGCCCGGCAGGCCGCCGAATGCGCCTAAACATGATGCGGGCCACCAGGGGCCACGCTCCCTCAGCGGCCTCACGCGGCCCTGATCGCAACGCGCAGCGCCGTCATCGACCTTCTCTGAACGTCGGCCCATGACCTGCCCACGCAAGTGATCTGCACCCGTCATCAACTGTCCGATGACCTAGAACTTCGGCAGAGACACCTTCTCCGTGATCCTCCGTTACGGATCAAAGATCTCGGTATTGATAATGGCGTCCGCCTCCTCGTTCTGGCTCCTAGGATCCACTCTTGACCTAGCTCGAGGCCCCTCGCCAGCACCTGGACCGCACGATCAGGATGTACTTAGACGTCATCAGCCTTGGCAACGCCAACACGTTCCCCAAATGGTCCGTGAGCACCCATCACGTGGAGCGTGCTGTTCACCCCCTTCTCGAGACCATTTACGAAGCCCGTCAACAAGACCAGAGACGCGAACAACTCCAACGTCGCGATTGACCTAAACGGCTCGCCGCGGCTGAACGCCCAGGACGGCGTCTTCCGCATGAGGGCGAAGGAGAACCGACTTGCCGAATACGGGTGACTCTCCCCCTGTACAACCCCGGCAGCCCAAGACCACCACATCCTGGCCATCGGCTGCTTTCGCATCGGCCCAGAAGGTGGGGCCCAGGTGGACGCCCCTAGGACGCACTGCCGTCGCCTTCCAGCCTCGAGCTCCTCCTCGACGCAGCTAAAAGCGAAGGACACCGACCACGGCAGGCGGTTCTCCCCCAGGTGGCCCTCTGCTGACGCACGCGAGACGAAGAGGCAGACGAACGGCCTGAGGTAGTCGAGGGCCCCTGACGTGAAACTGATCCTCCCCAGGACGGCCCTTAAGCAAGCAATCTGGAACGCACCCTCACAAGTCCTATCGTTGACCCAATCGCGGAGCCACGTGACTTTAGCCTCTGATCTCCCCGCAAGGCAGGACTCGAAACACACCCAATAACCGATCCGTGGGGTGTGGTGCCCACCTCTTCACTTGCTCCACTTCGGAGGCGCCCCAAAGCCCCCCACCCACATTTCCGGATCAATCAATCAGGGGCCAAGGTTGATAATCTTTGCGATGAGGCCCGCCATGACCAAGAGGTCATCTGCGAATGGCAAGGTGCCCTGTCGGCTGGAGGGGGCGAGGAGGCAATGAAAGAGACGCACCGGGACCGTTCCTGACAGCCGCGACCACTAGTAGCCTGCCGAAGCAATTCCGCAGGCGCCGACGCAGCTCACCCAGATGAGGCCTCTTCCAGGCGGCATCCCTGCTAACCCCGATCCCGCATCCTGACCTTCACCCTCCTGTGCGACTTGCTCCCGTCCCCGACTAGCACGAAGTGCCTTACGGCGGAGCCTCTCAGAAGCCCTCCAGCATTCTGAGAAGCCCCATGCGGCTTCGGACAAGGCTGGGAAAGCGCCAAAGAAGGCCAGAGGACCCTTCCGAGAAGGGCCCGCCACCTCTGCCTTGCTCCCTGGGCGCGCCGCCGACGTTGCGCGACCTCCCCACGGACTTCTCCCAACTCTCTCGGCGCTGGCCTGGGCGATAAGGGGAAGGGGCCAGAGGACGAGGCGCCCGTCTGCCTCGCAAGCAGCCGCCCATCATTGCTAAAAGCCCATCACAACCGGGTCCTCCTCTCGGTTCCTTTTGAAATTGTCTCTCCACGGCCGCCTCCACGCTGCGGGTGCCGGTTCCTTTCCGCCTCGCCTGCTCCGCGTCTGCCAGGCTGCTCAGGACACCCGCGTGGCACAGATGGTCCGCGTCGGCTGGCACTGGGGGATCTTCCATTCCAGCTCTGCCGCTTCACCTTCGGCCAGATCCTTCAAGGCCCAGCCCCTGAACGGCTCGACCACTCCTCCCCCAGTGCCGTGCACGCCGATGCGGAAGGGGTTCGACCACCTCGGAGGCTCGGCCCCTGGAGCCGACGCGCGCTTCACGTAGACGCCATCCAGTTCCTCCGCGCGGCCATACCTCACCGGCGCCACCTCCCCCTTCGAGATCTTCCGACTCGAGGTCCAACCAAAAGCTGGGTCCCCCAGCAGGTGAGGAGGAGAAGGGAAAAAGAAGTATGAGGAAGAGGGCCAATACACTGCTGCGCTCCAGGTCGTCGGCAAGAAAGTAACAAATAAGACGGAAGAGGAGGAGGAGGACCATAGGCATCAGGAGGAGGTCAATGAGGATGACGAGAAAGAGGAGGAGGAGGAGGAGGGGAGAAGAGAGAGCGAGAGAAGAAGAGAGAGAGAGAGAGAGAAAAAGAAAAAGAGAGAAAGAGAGAAAGAGAGAGAGAGAGACCAGGAGGACAAGAGGCAGGAGGAGACAGATGAGGTGGAGTGGGGGAAGACAAGGATGAAGAAAAGGGAAAAGAGTCCCCTCCTTACCCGCCGCCCTGAATTCGCCCCTACGCGCAAGCGCGCCACGCGGAAGACAACCCGAAGAGAAAGAGGAACAGCAAAAACCTCAAGAGGATAACGAAGACGACATCGATGAGGAGGGAAACAGGATGCAGAGATAGAGGAGGAAACCCTAGCTGTTCAAGCTTCGGAAGAAGTTGCAGACAAGCGGGGGCGCTGCTCATGCTTAAACACGCGTTGCCACTAAGATCCTAGGTGGTACGAAAGGTATCTGGCACTCGCAGGCGGAATCTACCAGCACACGACACCCGTGCTGCCCTCAGCCTACCAAGGCCAGGGGGGCATCACCACTCCCTGCTTCTCCCCCGCACGTGACTCACATCCTCGTCATCGCCCTCCTCGTTCTACGCAGCTTAAAGCGCTGCTCCCATTGTTAGTGCTGCCGCTGCCTCTGGTACTGCTGATCCTCTTCCTACCTCTTCCTCCTCCTTTTTCCTTGTGGTCTTCCTCGTGCTCATCCTGCTCCTTCTTCTCCTTCTTCTCCTCCTCCTCCTCCTCCTCCTCCTTCTCCTCCTCTCTCTCCTCCTTATGCTACACTGTTCCTCCTCTTTCTCTTTCTCCTCCTCCCCCTGCTCCTCCCCCTCCTCCTCCTGCTCCTCTCCTCCTCCTCCTCTCCTCCTCCTCCTCCTCCACCACCTCCTGACCATTCCTCCCCCTCCTCCTCCTCCTCCCCCTCCTCCTCCTCCTCCTCCTCCTCCTCCTCCACATCCTCCTGATCATCCTCTCCCCATCAACAAATTCTCTCACCTCCCCAGGGGTACGTCTTGGTCAGAATTTGACGGCGGATTTTCCGTGGCGACGCAGGCCCCCCCCGAGGCCCAATAAGGACCAATGTCCATCTTCAACGTCTCCCCCACTTCTTTTGGATGAGCGCGGGGACACAGACGAACTGATTCGACAAGCTGATTCCCACAGCACGGACGCGCCGCCTCGCGATCCCCCTGACTTTTCGACCGATCGAACGGCAGCAAATCCGACAGAGGCTCGCAGCGGCCTGCAGGTTCTCCGCCGAGTGCGACACCCTGTGCGCGTCGCTCTTCGTGGACCTGTCGTGGACGGCGCGGTCGAGGAGGAGTGCGGCCCCTCGTAATCAGCTGCTAAGGTTTACCTTCGGCCCTCGAGGGCCGAAGGGGACACACTTGGTTGGTTTCGGACTTGATTTTCACGGTTCTGAGCGTCGGGGGGCCTCTGGGGGGAGGCCCCGGGGGGACCTCCATTGGTCAGCATCAGGGGCAGAGGCAAGCCTCACCCCCCTTCGCAATCTCCTAAGTCCCCTGTTGAAGTGTCCAGTCCTCCTCCTCCTTTACCTCCTTCTCCCCCCCCCCGTTCCTTCTCGTCCTACGCGTTGCATGTATCATCCTCATCCTCTTCCGCCTCCTCCTCCTCCTCCTCCGCCTCCTCCACTTCCTCGAGCGTGCCCAGAGCGGAGCCCCCATCGTCCTCACGCAGGCGCCCGCGGGCGCCTCGGCTGAAATCTGGCTGCTCTGATATGCCCCTGACTCACCTCTTGGGGCAGTGCAGGACGGGAGCACACGTAACGCATTATACATAGTATATTACAAGCGTGAACAACTGGCTCAAACGATGCTACAGACGGCGAGAGAAGGCCAAGTCGGTCCACGGGGCAATCCGAAACATCCGTCCCCACAGAGGTCCGCACGAACCGCCAACAACGCGGGCAGGTAAAAAACATAACGACTCTTGGCCCCCCAGGCATCCCAGAAAACAACATTCATGCTTCTGGAAACGGTGGTGGGCGACCCAACTCCCAGTCATAGTCTGTAGGATCGCGTTGCGCCAGGCTGGGGGGAGAGAGGCCATCACTGCCTTCACGCTTCCCCATTCGACGCCGTCAATCTGGGGGCCATCCAACGAGTCGTCTCGATGCGGCATCCTCAAGCATGTTAGGGTGCAGTTCAGCTACGATGGGTATGTCTAATATGCGCTGCGGATGCAGTGCGCGTGTGCTCGCGTTGGGATTCTCGATCATGTGCCGCTCGAATTGACGACGTGCGCGCATGCATGCAGGGCCCAGGACATCATCGTCAGGAAACCCCTTGAACGCCGCGTCCAACGTCGCCGCGATGGGGTCAGACACCCACCACGCGGGCGAGAGTGACCCCCCCAGCACCTGTACAAGCGGGAGGTGGGCGAGCGCAGCTTCTCGTAGGCGGCGATGAGCCTCTCGCCACTCAGAGATCGCGAAACGACTCATGCGCTCATGCGGATGAGCTGCGCAGCGCTCGAGGCGGCGAGGCCGGTCAACTTGGGCCCCCCGAGCGAGTGCAGGTCGAACCAATCACCATGGGGAAGCGCACAATACGGAACCTTGAAAATCCTGGCCAGTTGCGCAAACTCTCGACGACGGAGGCTTTTCGGAAGTTGTAGAAACTGACCCACACACGACAAAACACGGACCCCACGTTTCTTATACATACTGGATATGACCTGTCCAGCAGCGCCAGAGCCTGCAAGAATGGAACATGTTTTCTCGTGCTTACCGAAGGGTCCGCCTCAGGAGTCGCTCTTCACGCCGGGGCCCAACCAAAGACCCAAGTACTTCGCGCGGTCCGAAATGCTGAAACCGGCCCACTCAAGGATGTTCCTTTCTAGCCATCGCCGAAAACGTCGCTCCAGAGCAGGCGGGAACTCGCTGCCCAGCGGGGCGAGGCAGCATTTCGGGATCTTCAGGAAGAGATGCGCAGTCCCCTGCGCTTCCCGAAAAATGTCGCGCACGGGTCCTAACGAGAGAATGCGGCGCAAGACGATCCCAATGCCATTGGCGCGCGCTCGAGTCCTACCAGCATCAGCCCCATCGAGGGCCGTGCGGAATTTCGGCGGGAACGGGTCCAGGATGATCGAAAAGATGAACCCTGACGCAGGGCGCCCCAGGATAATGCCTCCCGTCGCCCAGAAAAGCGGCCCCCGAATGCCTCCAATGCGCCCGCGACAGATCACATTCTCGCAAAATGCCAACAAGGGGGCTTTGAGGGGCTCAGGGATGCGCAAAGACAGAACCACCATTCGAACCCACTGCTGCGCCGACGACGGGAACGCCTGCCCAAAGTCGAGGTACACGCTAGCTGCCGAAACGCCAGGGCCCACGAGGCCAACCTCCCTCGGGAACGCGTCTAGCTCGACAGTGCTAGCCCCGAAGTTCCTCCCCGCCACGCAGCCTTTCTGAAACTGGTCCAGGAACTAGGGAAAATGTTTGCTGAGGGCCCGGCAGCATATGCTCGCGATGATTATGCTGTCGCTGTGTTTGAGCCCCAGGGGTCCGGTGTCTCCAGGCCTCCTCATAATGAGCTGCGCGTCGTTAGGTTCCTCTCCTTTCGGGATAAACACACCCACCATATCGTTAAAGTCCCGAGACAACTGGCTACCACCGAGGATGCGACGCATGCTGTCGCACAGCACGTCAGCCCCGCGCGGCGCGTGGGCCCGCGCAGCGTGCGGCAGAAGGTCGGGGCCAGGCGCCGAGTGTTGGAGTCGCTTCAACTGTGCCTCGACGTCGTTGAAGCTGGGCATCGGGAGGTCCATAGCCTCAATCTGCACGGGGAACTGGTTCAGGAACTGCTGAGCGCCTGCCACATCGAAATCGCGGCTGGCGAAGACCCCCCCCCCCCAGTGCCTACCGAACGCCTGAAGCATCTGAAGAGGTTCCGTCAGAATGGGCCCTCCAGGCACCCGAACACCAGCCAGAGAGACCCGTCGGTCCAGGGGGGGCCACAGTTGCGAGACCTTTGGTAACAATCGGGCTCTGTCACGAAGTTCTTGCTGAATTGGAGGGCCCCCATGGACTCGGGCAGCATCCCCGACCTGAGTGAGCTGTTTGCGGGCCACCTCGGAGTCGCGGGCCCGGTAAACATCTCGGGAAAACCCAGGGCCGCTGTCTCAGCCGCAAAATCAATCTCCAGATGATCACGCGCGAGACAGTGGGAAGCTCGGAGACGCCCAGCTAGGCGCACGTCCTGGCGAATAACAGCTCGCGCAGCGCTTCGGATGACCATGTGCTTAGCAAGCGACGACCTGGGACGACGAAGTGTGATGGTGTTGCGCGCGTGCCGTGCTCCTGCTATGAGTAGCTTATTGTAATAACTGTGTTTCTACCAACTCTGAAGGTCATCCCTGGGCGCGGCCCCCGCCGCCATCCTCATGAAGCGCCTGAATTCGTCCGATTCGAACAGCTGCTTGGGGATCGGCCTCTGTCCTCTCGGAGGTGGGCCTCGGATCCGCCAAAGTGACAGCGACTGCGCTGCGGTCGGAGACCGAGCCTGAAGAGCCTCAGGGCGACCCTGGACTTCCCCTCCCGTGGCAAACTGGCTCATGACCCAGCCAGGGGCCGACAAGGAAACCCGATCAATGCACGACGGCGTTTTGCTCCCACGACGGCAGCGGGCGGGCCCCTCCAGCCGGCCCCCCTCGAACTGCCCTAGGAGTTCACGCCGGGCAGGCGGCGCGCGGAGAAGCTCTTGCCGACGTGGCCGTTCCTCGGGGCCTCCAGGCGCGAGCGCGCTCTGCGGGGCGGAGGCGAAGTTGAAATCGCCAGCGAGCGCCGCCAGGCGCTGCAACGGGCCAGCCTCAGCAAGAGCGAGGTCGAGACGAATCGCATCGACGACCATTCTGTCCGCCGCTGAGATGTCTTCGTTGTGAATGTTGCAATGGGAGATCCAAGCCGCGTCGTCGACGCTTGCGAACCGAGCGTTCAGAAAGCGGCCATGGGCGAGGGAGAGAGAGAGAGAGAGAGAGAGAGAGAGAGGAGAGAGAGAGGAGAGAGAGAGAGAGAGAGAGAGAGAGAGAGAGAGAGAGAGAGAGAGAGAGAGAGAGAGAGAGAGAGAGAGAGAGAGAGAGGGGAGGGTAGTATAGGGCGCTCCGCGCCGCAGCATTCAGCGCGATCCTGGGAGGCAGCAGAGCGCCGCACCACCGACGCGGTGAGACAGAGGGGAGACGGGAGAGGAGAACGAGAAATCCTTCTTCAGCTGATGGAGCACGTCGCGCACCTCGGCTTCGTTCCCGCGCACCTCCTGAATGGCCGCGATCGCGCCCCCCCTCAAAAGTTTGCCAGGGTACAAGGTAGCGATGACGGCGGAGACGAATGCCGCCCCGGCGGTGCTGCAACGAGCTCGCACTCCAAGACGCAACTCGAAAAGGTACTAGCTGGCGGCGGCGGCGGCGGCCACTCCACAAAACACGCGCGTTGCTAAATCTGCCACTCCGCATCCTCAGCCGCGCGAGCGAGACGCCCTCGAATGCGCGGCTCAAGGGCAGCACGATCAAACGCTTCGGCTTTAATGTTGGCCGCCGCCCACTCGACGATCGGGTCCTCAATGCCCTCGCGGGGCTCCGCGCAGAGCAGCGGCTTCCAGTTGATGCTGGTCGCCCCCCTGGCACGGTCGGTGAACGCCTTCCGCTGCGGGTAGCACTCGTTGAATACACTTTTTGACCGCTTTGACCGCCTGCTCCGTTTTTCATCTGCTTCGCGTCCTTGCCGGGCCCCGGGAAAATCTCAGAGCGCGCGCCAGCGATGGGCGGGCGAGCAAACTGGCGCCAGGGCTGGCCTCGCTGATGAGGGCGAAGAGATCCTAGCGCCTGAGAAACTTCCCTGCTGGCCCAGCCCGCGTCACCACCGGTCCACGAGAGGAAACGCCCGCCCGTCGGCTCGACCCCCGCGTTCCACTCGCTGTCCGCCAAGTCCAAGTTGTCCCCCTGGATCCATGGCCGCAGCACATTCGCCACGGCCTCCTTCGCCATTTGCTCCTTCGCGCGCACCGCAATGGCCGTCGCGCCGACATCCCCCTGCCGCGCCGCCGAGGAGACAGCTGGCGGACGAGCGGGTGCTGCGGGGCGTGCCGAGCCCAGCTCCGTCTTTAGGTAATTGAGCTCGCTCCCCATAGACGCGATCCTCTGCCCATGGTCTCGCCGCTGCTCGAGAGCAGGACCCCGTCGCGCACCCAGGAGGTTCGCAAGCAGCGCGCAGGACTCCACCCTCGCCTGCGCGCTGGCGACCGTCGTCTGCAGCGCGGCCGCAGACTGCTGGCACTTCTCC